TGGCTGGCATGTGGTGCTGGGGGATTGAACCGCGGTCCCTGTGCTTTGCTGAGCTTGTTCTAAGTAGGTGCTTTAGACCACTGAGCCATCTCACCAGCCCTCAGGTATGGTTTTGAAACCTTATAGTCCCAGTATTTTGGAGATTCATACGAAGTTCGAAGCCAGCCCAGGCTATATAGCAAGACCTTGTCTTAAAGGAAGAAGAGGGCCTGTGAGAAATCTCAGTGATCTAAAGCCCTTGCTTAGGCAAGCTTAGGCAAAGTGCAGGGACCGCAGCTCGATCCCCAGCACCACATGCTGTGCCAATCCCTCAGGGGCTGAGCTGGCCATAAATAAACAAATAAATAATTAAATAAATATAGAAGAAGAAGAGAAGAAGGAATGAAGGAAAGAAGGAAGAGCTGAAGCTCCTCAGCTAGGTGTGGTGATGCATGCCTGTAACTTCAGCACTCTAGGAGGCTAAAGCAAGAAAATCACAGATTTGAGCCCAGCCTGGGTAATTTATGTATTTTGAAATAAAAACTGCATTGAAAGGAAAGAAAGAACGAACAAACTAGGGGAATGCTGGGCATGTAGTTTAGTGGTTCAGCACTTGCCTAGTAGGTTCTAGGACCTGTGTTTTATCTCAAGTACTGAAAAAATATATTTTTTCCTTTAAAAATTTTCTTAGTACATATTTGCTGTACAGAATGACAACATTCATTGTGGAGAGTGGGCACATGCACATAGCACATCTTGGTTACTCTGCCCCTCTCCACCCTGTTTGTATTTAAATTTTTTTTTTGCCAGCTCAGCCTGCCCTAGGGGTGGGGCTGGCGCTGCATGTGATGCCGGGGATTGAATCACAGTCCCTGAACTTTGCCTAAGTTTGCCTAAGCAGTTGCTTTAGACCACTGAGCTATCTTGCCAGCCCTGTATTTAAAAATTTGAAAACAAGGGGCCAGGGAGATGGCTCAGTAGAATAAGCACTTGCTTCGCAAGCACAGGGGCCTGAGTTCAATCCCTGGTTCCGCCAAAGACAAAAAAAAAAAAAAAAAAATGGAAACATTGAAAAAGACGGAGGCTCCCACCTTGCTCACTCCTGTCTCCTACCCCTGCCGCTGCACGGATAGAAGCCAGGTGGTCTGGAGCTCAGGGCCTCAGACACAACAGCTAGCTGATCTACCAATGAGCTGCACCCTGGCCTGTTTGAGTTCTCACATGGCTAGGACCTAAAGAATCTCTCGTCAACAGGACCCAGCAGGGAAGCAAAGCTCCGCAGCAGTGTGGAAGTGGACCTGAGGCCGTCACCCTCAGGGGTGCTGGCAAGTAAGACAGCAGCCTGGCTGTGGCTTTGCGACAGGGGCACCCGGCTAAGCAGAGTCCGGATCCCCAGAAACTGAGAGATAACAAGTTTCTTTCCTTCTTTCCTTTCTTTCTTCCAGTCACGTTCTTTCTATACTTTCTTTTTGTATCAAACTCAGGACCTCATGCTTGCCAGGCAGGGGCTACGCTCCTGAGCTAACCTGCTGCCCACATTGGTTTTAAGCCACAAGCTCCAGGGCAGTCTGTTATGTGGCAACAGCCAACTAACACATCAGCTTTCTGCAGATGAAACAGTCAAGGCGCAGGTGGTTTCTTGTTATTATTATTTGTTCTGCAGGGAAGCTGTCCCACTGAGCTATACTCTCAGCACTTTTTCACTTTTGACACTGTTGTCCACGATGGGCTTGCACCTTCAATCTTCCTGCCTCAGCCTCCTGAGGGGCTGGGATTACAGGTGTGTGCCACCACGCCCAGCTCAAGACACAGGTGTTAGCAGTACACCCAGAGTCGCACAAGTGGAACCCGGCAGAGTCGGCGCTAAACCCAGACACCTAACCTAAAGCTCTGGGTTTCTCTCTGGGCGTCCTGCCTCCTCTCAAAGCATATAGGACAAGGAGTCCCCAACCCGAGGGACACGTGCTGGAGAGTGTCAGCCCTGCCATGAGCTGGAGCCAGGGCTGGGGCTGGGGCAGGAGCGCCGCCGCCATGTCCGCTTGTCTTCACTCTCCATGTTTTCTACAACAAAAATCCTATAATTAGGACGAGCCAGGTGCCTTTTCTATGACAGCGGACACCGAGGCAGGGTACTGTGGGTGTGGGGAAAACACGCGACAAGCACTGTCACTATGATTTCCTCATCTCGTCTTCTGCAGATGTCTAGACAGTCACGTGTTACGTGGGATGTTTTGGTCAGCGATGGATGGCGATGATGGTGGCCCCGTGAGACCGGTGTCTAGTGACACTGTAGCTGTCCTAGTTTGTGTGAGGAACTCTGATGTCTGAATGACAGAATGGCCTATTGCACTCAGCCTGTGTCCCTGTTGCTAAGCAATGTAGGACTGTCCTTTACCTGGGTTTTATCATGTCCAGGACATACGAGTGTAGCAGGAAACATACGAAACAAATAAATCTACCTTCAATGGGAAGGTTGATGCATATTTTTCTTGAAAGGAAGGCAAACTTTGGAGACCACTGGGTCAGGACACTGTGTGTCAAGCAGGATGTAGACCCAAATGGGGACCAGGAATAATGCAGAAGGAAACTGTGGCTCCTCCACCCAACAGATTCTATTTCAGCCATAAAAATGGATGAGCACTGGTACAGGCTACGTGAGCTTGTATGGAGAAAGCAAGCGAACGAAAACTTCACCAGAAGCCAGGCACGAGGTGCTGAGAAGTGGCATGTGCCTTGCACGTACGAGGAGCTCAGGTTGGTCCCTAGCACGACAAAAAGAAGCCAGACGCGAGAGGCCAGTGACTGTGTGGCTTCTTCTCTGTGCTGTATTCATGGGTGGCAGAAGATAAGGAAGCAGGCTAGGGAGCACCAAAGGCTGATGAGCCCAGGGTGACAAAAGGGTCTCAACCACAAAAGGGTCTCAAAAGGGTCACAACCACAGAGCAGGTGGTCGCCCAGTACTGTGAGCACCACACATGGCTGAGTAACACATTTACAAATGGTTAATTGTGGCCAGGCAAAGTTGGCCACAATTTAACAAAAGGAAAGAGGATTCTGAGGTTGTGTCCTGGACTAGCCAGGGTACATCTCTTCCAGGCCTGCCTGGGGACACCACACACCCACAGCCCTTTAGCCCCGGTATAAGCTCTGCAGCCTCCCCATCGGTCCACAGAGCCAGGTCAGGAATCTGAGACTCACAAAGCAAGTGTGACACTGAGTCTGGCAGCATGGGCCAGACTGGAGACAGGTCCCCTTTCCACCAGCCAGGCTGATGCTCAGCCTCAGAGGTGGTGAAGGAGTGGCTTGGCCAGATGCCAGGGCCAGGCACAGGGGCCAGCAGGGACAAAGGGTGGAGTGCAGCACAAGTGTGACAGAGCAAGAGTCAAGTCTAGTTTGATGCTCGGCGGCACAGTGACACAAAGCCAGGGCTTGAGAGTTGCTGTCAAAGGGACTCCTTACTCAGGCAAGCAAGACAGACTCTGGACACTGGCAGGCAAAGGCAGTTCCTGCACCAGCTGACCAGGCCAACTGCCCCTCAGCCCCTGTGCTGTGCATGGTGAACTTGAACCCTGGCATCACAAGTCCAAGGCTCCTGCCAGAAAACTGCCAGGTCAAGTTCCCAAGGCCAAGTCCATGTCACCAGATGCCACCAAACCACCAGAAGAGGAAAGCCTTTCAAATAG